ATAGAGCAGCAGGAATAGGAGAAAAATAGTTCCCAAATAGACATTTCACAGAACTGCAAACAGTGCACACAATGATTCAATGGCTTGTAGAATGACCTTTAACAGCGTTAACTTGAAGTTAATGCTTTCTGTATAAATTTATCAATTTCTTACACTGTTGTGGGTGAATTCAATTGAGGTTTGCAGGGATTTATTTAGGCACAGCTCTGTTGAGGTCAAATACAGCATTTAGTCATTCTGTTGTCGATTTGCTACTGTGCTTGGAATCTCTGTCCTGTTGCATGACCCAAAGTTGACCAATCTTTAGCCGTTGGACAGATGGCCTGACATTTGACTCTACAGTGCTCTGGTGTACAGAAGAGTTCATGGTCGACTCAATGACTGCAAGGTGCCCAGGTCCTTGCAGTCATTGCAGCAAAATAAGCTCAAATCATTACCCTCTCCACCACTGTGCTTGAGAGTTGGTATGAAGGCTTTGTGTTGGTATGGTATGTTTGGATTTCACCAAATATTTCCACTCTGGTCTCGTCTGTCCAAAGGCTGTTGTTTTAAAGGTCTTAAGTTTTGTTCAGATGCAATCATTTTATTTTTTTTCTCCTGGCAACCATTCTAAACAGGCCATACTTGTTCAGTCTTTTTCTAATTATACTATCATTAACAGTGATATTTAACATACTAGCATGCTAGGTTTTTGTAGTTTCTTTGACCATTGCAACCTTGGGTTAAATTCACTGGGAAGTCCACTCCTGGGAAGATTGGCTGTGCCGAATGGTTTCCACTCGTGAATAATCTTTCGCACAGTAAAATAATGAACTCTAAATTGTTTGGAAATGGCCTTACAACACTTCCCAGATTGGTGGGGAGCAACAGTTGCTTTTTAAAGATCATTACTGATGTCCGTCCTCCTTGGCATTGTGTTAAAACCCCCCTGACTGCTCCAGACCTACAAACTGCCAAAACGTCTGATATAGAGGTGGTCACACTTACTGATGATCAGTTAATTACGTGCATTTGAGTAACAGCACCTGGCTCCTCTTAATTCCTATGAAAGAAAATTTGCAAAATGGATGAAGTCTGACCTCCAAGATCATGACATAATACTTTACCAGGTTTTGCATCATTTGTCACATAAAGTAGATTTAATGAAAGAAGACGGAAGGAGAGCCCAAACTCAAAGTATAGTTGCTCTTGCAGGACCCAAAACCTGCAGCGAAAAGAAAACAAAAATGGATGAGAAGAAAATGTTGGACTTTTCTGAAGCTGTTTGTTGTGGAATTCCAATTTAGTTCCACTTTGTTTCTAAATAGTGTGCTCTTCGCTGAGCGGAAGGGTGCCATGGAATTTGAGACAACCATATCTTAGTATTTTAAAAAAAAAACAACTGCAGAAAATGTTGTAAATGAACTGTTAATTTAATGTGTCAGCTCTTCAAATATACTCATTTCCCCATTAAAAAACAACAAAAATGTTTTTAAAAATATAAGGTGATGGAAGCAAGTCCATATCCAAATGGAGCTGTTACAGGAATTAAAATTTGCAGGTGTGATAATGTTTGTATTGTGAGACAACGGCATGTTTGACAGCCCACTTTTGCATCCTTTAAACAAGCACCACCAACTCATGAGTGTCAGATGACATCCATGCAATTTTGTGTGCATTTATGTACCTTGAAATATTTACTTGCATCCTTGGTGTGCATTTGCCACAAAAGGTTTGAAAACCGATAGAATGGGGGTTTGCTACCAAACATTTGGGTTTAAAACCACATTATTTCTCTATAAAATAACATGTTTCTCAACAATTCTTCTTCTTTTGTCCTTTAGAGCCGATGGACTCAGGACCTCATTTATGATCTGCTTCTAATACCTGCAATTGGTAGCTATGGTGCAAGCTTCCTTGATATCTTCCTTAATGTGGTTTCTCACGTTGTCTTTAACGCTGACTTTTGCAACTTCTGTTAGTTTGGTCTTTTGCACCACGGGAGCTTGAATGGTATCGGCCCGTGATCCCAAGTACTTAAATTTGTGAACCTGAGCCTTGAGATGATGGTTGTTGTGATTTGACACTGCATAAATAAAACTGAATAGAACAGAAGTGAATTGGACTTTAGCCTGTATGAGTATGCATGAGTTCATAGTGATTCCAAAAGAGGTGTCCGTGTCTGTGAATATTGAACTATCACCAGCAAACATCAAATGAGTTAGGAAGCCATCTTCCCCAAAATTGGACTCCAGTGTTCAATTTTTCTCCTTTAAAAGAGGTTTGGAGAATAGTTTATGAGTCACCTTTACTAGTTTAAACATATTTGAGAGAAAATAGTTTTTGGTTTTTTGTATTTAAGTGGAAGTGTAATAGTAATATTTGCCTCATCTGTAAGAGATGTGATAGTTTGATATAACCAACACAGTGATATATTGGCTAAAAAACCTGAGAGGACTTGTGCTTTGATATGATAATATGCACTACCTCGTTTAGATATGTTGAACCAAAGATTCAAGCACAGTAAAAAAACAAACAAACAAACAACAAAAGCACTTCTTTAAGATTCCTGATTTAAACATCCTTGTTTACGTCTGGTATCACATAATGAGGCACTGTGACATCCTAAATGTATAAATTCATCCACCACCACGTTTAATGCCTTGAAATACAGTTGATTGATTCAAAAACTATGTTGGCATTATTTCTGAGCGTTTTCCCAACTTCAGTTTTAGTTCCCAAACTTTTACAATTCATGGTTGCAGCTTTTTCTCTTCACACTTGTTTCTGTGGGCATTATCAAGCGGAGCAATTTGGGACACACGAACAGATAGATGTCAGACCCGGAGACTTCTAGCTTTATTATACTTGGAGAAAAATTATTGTTTTGGTTTTTTTGTGTATGCCAAATGTACCAGTGTTGGGGGTCTATATTAAGTCTTCAAATATAGATTAAACCAAAAACGTGTTATATTTCTGATATGAAGTCAAAGTGGGTTGCTCATTGAGAAAGTCTTGGCTATTTTTATACAATCAGCTGTTTACAAACCAGCACTCCAAAGGCCTCTGGGATCAGATGGTAGTGACAAGTTCTTAACAATGTTTTTTTTCTCTTTTTTTTGAAAACACAAAATAAAGAAAGCCATAGCCCTCTAAACAACCAGAAACATGTTCTTGCACCACACTGTGAATAGGATGGTCTCTGTAGCCTGCAGTTGTGGGGGTGTAGGAGGAGGAGGAGGAGGAGGGTGCAGGCTGGTTGGAATCAGTGACATTCTTCAAGGCCAGTGTAAGATTAAAGACCAGGGCTGTCGTGCCTCTGATCATATATTCACAAAAGATACCCTGTGAAGAACACATCTTTAAAGAGAGGCTGGCTGAAAATAACACCACTACTTGTGAATATTTGTGGCAGGGTATTATACATATCATATAAATGGTCTATTACTGAGTAAGGTGCTTACAAACCAAATAATTTTTTTTAACTTGCCCTTCTCATTTTTTCGCCCTCTCGTTTGGCACAGTTGTGTGAGCAGCTGCCTCCAGTGGCATGAGTTTGTCCTCTGTGATTTTTTTATGTGTGTAAAAATCACAGATCCTAGATTTGGATTTAACTGAAAGACTTTGCAGTCTCTCTAGCTCTATTTTTTCTGATCGCAATACCTCCAACATCCTAGCATTGTGGCATTGAGCTTAAAGAGCACTGATTAAAAAAAGCTAACAGCCTTGGGCACAGTGTGCAACCACAAGCATTTATGCAGAAATGAAAAATGTCAATAGTGCTTCCTTCCATAATATTGCCTATTTCTCCAGCACATAACACTGGCCTGTGACTCATGAACATAAATTCAGTGCACATAGTATACTAAACCGAGTAATGATTAATATAACTTTCATCTTGGGTTTGCTTCACTTGGTGTGGCCTTGAGCTTTTTTACAGTCATGGCACAGTGGAAAAATGTAATGGCTTGCTATTCTGCATGTCCTTCAAATAAAATATTTCCATAATGGATTCTCATTGGTAGATATATATACATAGACTGCACCATAAGCTTTGCCCTCTTTGTATCTTTCACAAGAGAGTTAATCAAAAACTCTGCTTGATCTCACAGCCCCTGGAAAGCAACAGCAAATGGCTGTTGAGAAGTATTAATATAATAATCAAGCGTTTCAGGTTGCTCTTAATTCAATTGTCTCTCTTAACATTTCCCAGCTATGTCAATCAATGTGCCTGCCTTGTCTTTAAAGCAACAGAGGAGTTATCCATTCCGGCACCATTAAAACATCAATGTCTCATTTCTGCTAAATGGCAGAGGAAAGATAATTGGCATGTGTGCATGCATATTAATTAACTGATAATGAGACGATAAGGCCCCCTCTTTATCTGCAGGTGTGGAGCCACTAATCAATTGGCAGTGAAATGGGGTAAAAATGCGCTTCTTTTATCCCACTACTGAAATTAAAAACCTATTTAGTACCACGTTTTCCAACAAAGTGCTTTTCATTTATCTTCTGCGGCACATTATTCAATCACACTTTCCATTTGTATAATGGTAATATTTTCATGTAATTTCCCACTGCCTCTGAGATGGGTATTTTTGATATGGCTTTGTAAAATGGCTATTCCATTCCAGCTCCATTCACTGGTAATAAACTTACAACCTATATTTCAGATTAAATGTCTTCAGCAAATGGAACCAGCCTCAGACGTCTCACAGCAGCGGGGGAAGATCGCTCCTGCTCCCTGGTGGCGGCAACGGGAACTGTGTCCCCTGTCTCTATGCCCCCTGGTGGCAAGGAACATAAAGTTCTGGAAGGTCTTCTCAATCCAGCTCTTGGCAGCAGTTTGTTATTTGTTGTATAAAGACTGTCCAAATGAACACCGGTAGCAGCCCTCTCATATGCAGAGCATCCCATCTAGCTGAGAGCTGCAAGGTACACAGAGCTAGCACATAAGTTGACTGTCTTAAAGAGTTGCTGCTTTAGCCTACAGCAGTATTGGAAGCATTTAAAAGAGAGTGTTGTAACTATCAGCTCTGACCAGAGGTGTGTGAGTGCAAGTAAAGAGGAGGAGGAGAAGAGAATGAAAATAAATGATTGTGAAAAAACAAAGCAAGGTACGCCGCAGGAAACGACGCCTAAAAAAGAACATAAAGGCAACAGAGGTTCAAGACAACACAATGTAATACTCCAAACGATATATTTATTACAAAATAGTTTCTAGACTTTGACAATAGGAGTCGGATTTCTACAGAAGTGTGCGTATTTGATTATGTGTGCCTGGCCCAGATGACAGACGTTGATGGACAGTAGTGCAGCGTCGCCTCATCCTGCTTACAGGTCCTCCTTCACCCTCGGACAGGCCAATCTGTGCACACAGCAACACAGACACCACAGAACCCTTCTCAGTCACCATGCAGCCCATTTGTCACGTCAAACTGCTTCAGAAAGACACGGCGGTCAAGTTACAGAGGTAATTGTATCAAAGTGACCCCTATGCAATGGTCATAGATTGCTTACTTTACAGAGAGGTGCTGTATCCTTGTTCATTGATAGAACTAAAAGGAGAATGAAAGGACATAGTCAGGTAATAACTAAAAATCTTAAAGGCAGATTATGAATAACATTTAAAGAAAAATGGTCTTACAAGAAGAAGAGTTAGGTTCGGTGTAAAGGTGGCGCTCAGCTGGAACTCTTCGTTTTTTCATCTTTTTCTTTTGTTCCATTTGTTTCCTCTGCAGGCGCCTGCTTGGTGGAAGTGGCAGTTTTCGGCCTGTCCTCTGGCTTTTCAGAAGGGTCAACCACTGTGGCCCCCCTACTTGTGTTGCAGCCCATGATTTTTCAAAATTTGAGAGTGTGCAGCGTGTCGTTCAGCTGATGGTTGTCCACAGGAGTATGAAGTGTCAAAATCCTGGTCGTCACCTTAAAACTTGTGTGTTGTGGGCTCAGGTGCATTTGTTCTCCATGGCAACTATATGACTTCCTGTTGTGTTAACTTTGTTGGTTTATTTTACAGTCCTTTGTCTGTTGTATCACATTGCCTTTTTGCAAATACATCCCTAAGTGACAGTGGTTGAGAATTAACTCTGAAGCAAAACATGGTTACTGATAAACACTGAAGTGGGCTGTGTGCCAATCACAGAGTAGCTATGGTTACTGGCTTTTCCACAGTGGAAAAATTTGTGTTTTGATTCCCTTGGAGGAGTTTTAGCCATCGTCATTTCACAAAATCCAATTTACATCAAACTTTATAGAGCAGAAAGAAACAGGTGTAAAAGTCAACAACTTGTGATCAGAAACGTTAGAATTTTTAAAAAAAAAATCTTTTTTTTTAGATATTGGATGTATACATGACATGTTTCTGAATTATCTTTATGTGAAGTGTCTTTCAAACTCTTTGAAAATTGGTTTAATTTACAGGTTAAAGTGGTTAATTTGCATTGTTGTAAAGTTTACAGTATTGTGATATGCTGGATGGTGCAGAGCAGGTTGTGGTGTGCACGGTCACTGGGAAGTTAAGAATGTCAAGGGTGGCCGACATTAAATTAAATTTAAGGGGATGATGCTGTTTAGATTCATTCACTAAATTTGACCTTATATACTAGCTTTATTGTGTCTAGGGGTTTGCTCATATCTTTCTATATTTAACTGCCTAAATCCACAAAGACCAGTAAGCAACTGGTCCTATTCTGGACACAGTAAACTCTACTGGAGCTAACCACAGGAATTCTTACGTTACGTATTTCTAAGTTATTCCGTCGCTGAAGTGCTACAGCTGAGGGTTACCCCACCTTTGAAATCGCACGTTAACTCTCGATGTAACACAACATAACAAAAAGGAAAGAGGCAGTATATTGTGGTGCTATTCAGGAATAGCACAAATTAGTTACCAATTAAATTTTTCAAGGACGTAGATTAAATTAGCAAAAGAAAAATCACCACAAACAGAACTGCGGCTGAACTGAAATTTGAAAAGTTCTATAGAAATAGAAAGGCATCTGTTCCATTGCCAAACCCTAGTTTTTTACATGATGTTGCACTGGTTGGCAGTGTTTCTTGGAGGTTTCTGGTCCTCACTGGGTGAAATTGGTTGCAAAGAAGGCGCTGCACTGAACTGGTTGGGAAATAGACATTTTTCCTAGCAACAGGTAGTTGACAGGATGTCACTGACTAATCTGTAGGCCTGCATGACTGGGATATTAGCAATCATTTTCCCAGCGACTGCCACTAACCTCCAACCATTTGCAATCAACTGAGGACTGCTCATTTCCCCCCTTCATGATGGGTTGTTTGCTGAGGGGTTCACTTGATCCCACATTATTAATTGTCATCAAGTTAAAATCTTGTGGTTAGTGGTCACATGTCTTCAAAAGCTCGGTAATACCTACTTATTGTTAAACTCAGATTTAAAGAAACTTTGTTGCATCAGCAGATGATAATAAAGCCAACTTCTGTCAACTGACACATGTATCATTCTGCGCAATAAATCTCAAAAGCAAAACACTTTTCTGTTTGGAAAAGAGCTTTAATAAAATCACCGTGCAGTTTTTGATTGATGTCCTGTTGAATCAGCTGTGATACTCAGTCTGTAATAAACGGTGGCTAAAACTGCTGACTGGATTTTTAAAGATTTATTGAGACTGAATTTGTTTTAGCTTCTACATTTATGTTGACCAGTGCAAGTTTCTGCTACTGTAACAGCACTTTTCATTTATTATTTTTGCAAAAGTCTTACTTTAGTTTATCCTCAATAGTTTTGCGATAAGTTGAATGTAAAAACAACTTTAAATTAATTTAGAGTGGTATGCATCAAACCCCTAGTATCACCAATATGCAGTCAGAATCAAATCACTTCAAACTTCAGTATTCATGCAGGTCATAGACAGGAGTTAATGTTAGTATGTACACTCAAAATTCCAAAAGTAAGTCAAACATAAAAAACAGATCAGTCTAGTGAGAACAAATGAGTACATCCTCAAATTAATCACACAGGGCCTTCAAATATGGTGTCAGTTATTAGACTCTTCTTAGAGAGTAATGTCTTATTTTAACCTCAGACATCCAGGGTTTGGTGTTCCCCAGTTAATTTAAATCAATAATTCTGCAAATCATCTAAAAAAAAATCTTGTAGCTAAATTTAGCTAAATTTAAAAAAAAAAAATAGCTGCCAAATTGTCCATAATGGGTTGTCTCAGCAAATTATGCAAGTCTCCAAAGACCCCAAGCTTTCATCAGAGGATCTGCGGTCAACTCTTTGCATTGTAAACAGTGCAAAAACTTGACCTGCATAACAGGAATGCCCAAAAGAGCAAAGCTGTATTTTTATAGTTAACATAAAGGCAAAGACCAAGGCTACTAAGGCACATCTAACATAGCCATGATAACAGTACGTGTGTGGATATATTATGGTTATGGGAATGCTTTGCTGCCTCTGGGACCTGGCAATTTGCAGTCATACAACTATGAAGTGAGAATGAAATTTAAAATATGCTTTAAGATAACCTTGAGTTGAAATCTTTCAACAGGACAGTGATGAGCATGCTGGAAAATCCACCAAAAATTGAGTTTAAAATGTTCATTGAAACATTTAAAATAAATAAAACATTTTGCATACATGTAAAGGTACCATGTTATTATTATTATGTGAGATTTAAGTCATTAAGATAACGAACTATAATTATATAAATGTTCTAATTATGCAAAAATGACTAAATCAAAATTTTGTTTTGTTATGTTAGCTTCAGAGGCCTAAGTTACACTTTTTTTAACAGAATTGTTAAATTTGTGCAGAAAAAAAACTTTTTGCCCAAATGTCCATTGGATGCATTTGTGGATACATTTATGTTTTCATATTACTGTAAATATTAATTCCTGTGGATGCAGACAAACACTAACTAATCTGCCTTTTAGTTGCTAAAGTCCTGTCTCAGTCCTTTTTTATCTAAGAAAAACTCACTGGGCACTTTGCAGCCTTGTCTTTCTTTAAATTCATACAATATCATGAAGGACACTTCCATCAGGCAGCAACCCAGGATGACCAGTCTTCTATTACTGTGCTGGGGATAAAGTGGCTTATTCACAGACCTTCACACATGACTTATGGTATCAGAAAAAATGATTCCAAACAAAAGAGCCAAGCAACGGAAATTTAGTCCTTTGAGCTGACAGAGAATTTGTCAAGAAGTAAATGTGTGCTTTACTTCCATCAGAGTGGAGGTTAGGCCTGTTAGCTGGAATAAGCTAGACCTGGTCCTGGTTCATTCTTGTAATGCGATCATTGAACACATTTCTCAGTCGTCTCTGCCAGGCTGACTGCCCATCCAAACGAAGCCTCTTGGCTGAGGATCCATCTCCTTCCTCATCTCTATCCAGTGATACCGCGTAGCATCGCATGTTTGGTGACCTGCCCGTTTTGATCATGTTGTTGATCTCACGCAGAAGCTGTGAACAAAAGGAAAATAATATTCTACTGTGTGCGAGCAAAGTCAACCATTTTTATTCACTAAATCATTTCCAAAATAGGAATGTAGAATGTATTCAGCCTAGATTGTACCCCAACACACAAAATTTTTTAAGACGATCATGTGAAAACGAAAACACTATATCCACACACCTCTGGAGGACTTGAGTTGAAGTAGTAGCAGAGCCCAGTTCTGTGAGGGGAAGGGCTTTCTGTGTTGTATGGTGAAATGGAGATGGACGGGCTGTTGGACAGCTGATAACAGCGAGGAGATGCTTTCCACTGTCGAGGGTATGGAGACAAAGGAGGGGTGTCTCGCTGGACAAGAAATGAAGTGTAAGCATTACATGGAAAATAAACATTTCCCATTTTTACTGAGTTCTTAGTTTTGTGACATCAGCTCAGAAAAAAGAAAAAATGTTCACTTACTAATGAGGTTTGAGCAAACTGTTTGGCAAAATGCTGCATCTTTGTCGTGTAGACCTGGTTGTAAAAATGGATGAGATTGCCCCGTTCCTCCTGCCCAGGTCTTGGATAATGTGTTGATGGTGTGTTGGGGGTTAGGATAGTGCTGCTGTGCTTTCCAGTATCTATACTCAACAATATAATAAAAAGTTACTTATCACTGTGGAACTACTCTGGGATAATGGATATAATGCAGGTAAAATGTTGTAAGTGAATCATTTGGTAACTTGATGGGTGTCATTTTTCTTGTGCAATGAGGCATTGCTATGAGTTCTACCTCTGTATAGTACTTTATTTGGATCTAACACAACACATGCTGCATTCGTTTTCTTTAACTCTACCACCACCAGTGCCACTGTTTCCGAGCCACATAGCCAGCTAACAATACATGCGCATTTCTTTGCCCACAGTGGATTGCAAGCATGTGAGCATGCATTACACATATAAAGCTACGATGGCAGTGAGGGCAATGTGTAGTCCCATTTTCAATACTTATTGGGACGCATTATGTACATTACTGTAATTACAAGGCTATTTTGTAAGTGTGTTTTTTAAAACAGGTGTTCCATAATATTTAAAATATATGACTTTTTTATTTAAAAGCTTTCTTACTGATTTTTTTAATGGTAGAATTTTCCTCCATCCTTTCTGAAATCAGCACGTTTTTGCAGACCTGCAGATAGAAACGGTAAATGCTGAAACAAGTGCTTTGAGTTGTTACTGTCAACCTGCTAACCTCCTTGCAAGACTGAAATGCTCATGTAAAGCAGGTATAATGGTATTGTCACAGTTATTTAAAAAATGTACCTGTTAACATTAAAACATTTGATGATAAACACAAAACAGAATGTCGCTAAAACTGATGGAATCTTGGAATAAGTGGGCCCAGCTGATACACGTTTCAACCTGTATCGCTATATTTTGTTAATTCACAGCTGTATACTAAAGACAGCAAAAAATAAAAACCAAAAATAAAGAAACTTACACTTTTGTTGGCACGTGGCTGTGACTTGTAGCATTTCATTATCTGTTTGAAGGGTATCTCCATCTTGGTAATCTGTAAAGGCAAATGCCACCACTTAACTGCTGAGTATGTGTTTTCCAATGAAGTCCATGCATTACCAACATGGATTCTTTTTAGGATTACAAATACAGTTTTCCTTTAATTTCATGTCAGTGAAAAGCGATAAAAACTTTTTCAGCTGTCAAGTGCCCTCACAACAGTCTTTAATTTTATTTAAACACCAAGTAGTTCTTTTCCATAAAACTGTAAATCTGTAAACCTCCCTGAAGGTTTTACTTCTCCGTGGTCAGGGTGGACTCAATTTGGGGCAGGTGTCCAACATCAGAGGTCTAAGAAGTCTGGCCATTCTGATTTACTGTGGCTTTGATTTACTGCACCGTCTCTCTGTTTGCTGTTCTCCCTACCTACATCTTGCTGGTACTGCATTAGTCATCATCTGCAAAATGCTGGTATATCTTAGCCCACCCTGAACATTTAAATGTATTCCTCACTCCCTAAGAATTGTTTAAAGTTTATTATTCATCTGAGACAACCACTTGCATTTTCCAGTTGCATTGTCTTGCATTATTTTAGCAGATTCTGGTGGGTTTTAATAGTATCTTTTAAAACCCACCTTTGCTATGATGTAGATAGCACACATGAGCAGTTGGTCCAGGTGACGGTCTACCATTAGACAAGAGCAGTGGACCAAGGAATACTCAAAGCAGGTCCAGATCTTTAATCGCAGCTCATCAGATATTTCCAGCGTGGAACACAGCTCCCTCAGACGCTTGGCCATCAAGCTGTAAACCTGAGATAAAGACAGACATGACCACACTAAACATGCCATATAACAACAATGGCAACTGGACGCATGATATAGAACTGACCTTCCGAGCAAACAGATGGAGGGAGCTGCTTCTCTCTTGTCTGTTTATAGCTGATGGGGAACACTGCTGCTCTGTCCTGGCTGAGTGGTTCATCCCCAAACTGACATCTACTGGCAAAAATAGTTTACCACTCAATCTATAGTAATAGTGTAAACAGTTTGCAGGGAATGGTTTTATTTAAAATGAGTCTTTAGTGCACTGTGTTAATACCTCTCGGCACACCTGGATCCGTTTGCATTGGACCTTCAAGCCTATTTGGATGCATTACCTACATTTGACACAAGGCAAAACTCTCATTAAAACCCGAACTGTTCAAAGAAAAATTTAATTGTTTTGGATATGTTATAAAATTTCCAAATATTGATCATTTATGATGTCAGGCAAAGAGTATTTGTGTTGTTCCAAACCTGTTGGCAGGTGGGCATATGGCCCTCGTTGGGTGTGATTTCATCCCACAGTGGTGAGTCGCTGATCCAAGCCAAGTTCTCCAAAACCTTTTCTTCCACTTGGATGAGGTGTGTGACCACATAGTGAGGCAAGCCTGACCCAACCCGCCAAACAGGCTCAATCACCTGTGAGAACAAAGAAAAACAAAAGAGGGAGCATTCAAATCACAGACTAAATGTTATTGTATCACTAAGTGTACAGTATATGGCAAAAACAAAGTACCTTCCAAAAGTGGTATGGTTCCAGTTTGAGGATCTGAAGGAGCAGCGGGAAGTCACATGGTAAGCTGTTTGAGGTTGCAGCGATCTCCAAGCAACAGGCCACCAGACAGCGCTGGAAAAGATCATGCTCCAAGATGCCCTGCATCAAACACACCTGTTTTACATGCATTACAAGCACCAGCTGCTTTACTTCAAAGATGACTCAAAATAAATAAAATACATAAGTTATGAGATCACAGGTGCTGTGAGACATTTATCTGTGACTGCTCAGTTAATATGGTCAAAGCTCAGTTCCATCTTTGGCCACCAGATGGCGTGCACTTACTGAGATGTCACTGAAGCCCAGCCTTTTCCTCTCTTGACTGATCAGGCTCTCCAAGATTCTGTGATACCAAACCCCTGCCTCGTAGCAGCACTTTGCTGCCAACTCTGTGAACAATATTAGATAGATTATTTTTTGGCACGTATCAACAACACGGGCTTTATTCCAGAATTTCACACCTGCTATCAAAAGACAGCCTGCTCTCTAATCATAAGAATTTCGGCTATCAACCAGATACACGCTGAAGGCCACATTCCACTGTAAAATCATCACTGTACCTTTGGTCTTCTCATTTCCCTCGTCATCCCTGTAATGCTGTAGAAACATTTGCAGCATGCATTTCAGTCTTGTTTCAATCGCCTCAGTCGAATCTCTGGAGCAAGCCCTGAATCCAAGGCATCGTCACAGAAATTTGAGCAGCACAAAAGGAAATGGAAAATGTAATTCAACAATATTCTGCCATTGGCATAAAGTGGAGGTGTAAGTTCTAAACTGTAAATGAAATGCCACACGTGTGTTTTTTAAAGCTCTTGCTTACAATAGTAGAAACTATATTAAAGAATTCCCAGTACAGAAACTTTATCAGCTCTGTGTGCTTACACATTATTGATCTTGACCACACCCTCAGTGCCTTTTAGCAAAACACCAGATGTTAACTACACTATATAGCTGTTAAATTGATCTAGCCACATTTGTACAGTGTGTGAGGCAGGCTGATGAAAGATCTGAGGCGCGTTGTGCTTTATTGCAGCTATTAGTGCTGCGAGTATCAGTATCAGGTTGACATACACACAGCCTACACAGATAAACACTGTGTGAGTCAGTAATGCTTTGTAACTGCAGGGCTAACCTCAACATTGCGATCAGACAGTCACTAGGGCCAAACCTTGGCTTTCCCACAATCCCCTGTGGCACAGTTGCCATGGTGACCTCCTCACTCACACAGGATGAGAGTCAGAGCAGGAATCAAATGGACACCTAAACATGGAGTGAAAAAAATACACATTTTGTTTACAAACTAGAGGTAACTTTGCATGAATCATAATTGAAAATATTAGCTTGTACGAGGACCTGAGGCATAGGTAGACTAAGCAGCTGCTTATCACACCCCAGATAACTGCATCATCATCAGTGTCAACTACTGATTTAATCATTTTCATTCTAAATGGCTCAACGTGGTTCTCTATTGGACGGTGTGCTGGCAGACCATAGCGAGCTGCAGTGAGTGTGTTTTGCCACAGGGAGGCAGTGTCCAACATTTGTGGTACAATCAATGTGTGTGCGACTCTTGCTTGCGCTGTTGTTGGTCTGTGCAAGTCACGATGTTACAACATACAAAGTACTGAAGGAAAACCAAGTGTTAGAAATATTCAAAAGCGTCCACTGCAGACCCTTGTCTGCTTTAATTCTGTATTTTTGAGCTTTGATGAATTTTGGCACTTTTACTGTTCCACTTTCACCCCCATTCTTTTCCAGTTGGCTTGTCCACCAATCAGCAATCACCTTACATCCAGTTGAGCTACTTACTATTTTAGAGGATCATGTTTGCATAGGTTAAAAACCCCTCACTGTAGGCAAATAACTCGAAAAATACACGCAACCTTTTGACAACGACTAACCTAAAAGCAACTGAACGGGGCTGTGGCTCAGGTGGTAGAGTGGGTCCGCTACTAATTGGAATTCCAGGGAGGGATGTCTGGTGTTGTGCGCATGCGCAGAAACAACGGGTAGGATGGTTTGCCAGGTAGGATGGATTCCCAGAACACCGGCTCCTCCTGGTCATGTGTCGAAGTATCCTTGAGAAAGATACTGAATCCCAACTTTCATCTGTTGGAGTGAGTTTGTGAGAATGTTAGATAAAAGTACGTAGGAACACATAAAAGCACTGCATGATTTTGTGTGACTGGATGAATTAGACTTTTAGTAGAAACTGTGTTTTGAATGCTCAAATTAGTAAACGGTACTAAATAAGTACCAGTCCACTTACAGCTACACTGCTATAAAGCTAGCTGTTTGTTAATGGACTGCAACAATTGTGTCTCAAAAAAAAAATAAAACCACACTTTTAAGCCTGTTAATGGACAAATGGTCAAGCATGGAGAATATATAGTTAATACTGACTGGTGATGGATTTTACTGGGAAGGGTGCCCAAAAGCCAGCTTATTTACAGAAACGTCAAACTATGGTCTTACACCTGGAGTTTTATATTTGCTGCTGCCTTTCTTGTTATGGATGCATTAGATGGCCTGGTGGTCTTGTTGACAGCACCACTTTCCCACTCTGTTCATTTGCCTTTAGTGACTCATGTGTACTTCCTGCTCTGAGGCAGCTGTGAATAGTCACTTTTGTTCCTGTGCACCTCACATAGTGAAAACCTAAGAAAAACATCTCAAACTCAGTTTCCCTGTGCAGGGCAACTGTCAATTTGGCAAGTCGTGTAACAACAGGAATATTTTAGATGCCAGAGAAGACTCATGAGGAAATAATAAGTTAAATACTGAACCATCCTTGGGCCACGTGAATAATAATGGTGGATAATGTTGACTGTTAATCTCTAAAAAGTGTGTGTGTTTCAAAGCATGGTTCGATCTGCTGAGAATTGAATACTCCGTCCCCTCGCGGTAAAGTCCCCTCTTCTTTTTACAGTCTCTTTGTGTGCTACCACCAGCCTGAACGAGACTCTGTTCCTCTAACCATTCTCACATGTGCTGTTTATTACTGCCTGTGCTGAGTCAGTCTACAATGACTGCGGATGACACTGTAGGTGGATAAGAAGCAGTTTTGCTCAAAAATGTGCCATAAGGTTTTCAGAGTAGAGCACGTCACACTCAACATTACTATTGTGATTTCCTAATATTTCCTTTCATGTGGCTATACTTTCCCCCCCACTAACAAGACAAAATCAGAACCAGAATTAGTTTAATTCTGACCTTTTGCTTAATCTCCAACATAAGGACATTTCTATATACTTTTGTGATCATTGCAGCTTAATGGATGCCTTTTGATTCTCTGTGTTCCAGATTTGCTCACAACTTACTGTTCGTGTTGGTTGAAGCAGCAGCTGTCTGATGCGTTTTCCATGTGGTGAGGTAAAATGGCAAGAAAAACTCTCATCGTGCACTCCAAATTTTAGTCCAAATGCTGATATCAGTCCAATGGCATCTTAAAACATCAAGTTGTGTCTCATTCTGACGGACTTCCAGCTGCTGCATCTCAGAAGAGACAAACAGGAAGTTGGAAGCATCAATATGCATGCAGCTTCTCATAAATATGAATCACACCCTATCTTGTTATCTTTAGCAGGAAGATCCTGGAAGCACGGTGTCGATTTAAAAACACCACAGATGTGTTTTCTGCATGTTTGTTTGCGGTTTTAATTTTGCTAAAAGCTGGCACAATATCTAAATCACACCCATTTCCTGTTTCCTCTGGACTGGACTCCACTCAAGTCAACTCACATGCAACTCATGCTAAGTGAAAATAGGCCTACTTTCACTTTCTAACATGTGCTAGTCCCTTAAAGAGAATTAAACTAAACATCGCCTTTATCTTGTTTTATAATCAGACTTTGTTATTCAGTGCATTAAAGCCTGCTGAAAAATAGCTATATAAATGGTTAATGTGTGCAGAGGATTCTTTTATTCTGCAGCTTTTAAGAACACTGAAGCAGATCGTGTAACTGTTGCATTTTACTCCAAATAGTCAGCTGACTTCCAGTGCAGTTTATTATCTCTGTGGAACTTTCAACGTAGCTCAAGAAAACAAAACTCATAAACCAGGATCAAAGTCACTCACCAGTGTCAGTGGCTCTTCTGGGATGGTGTTAGGTCAAACTGACAGACTTCTGCTCTTAAAAATCTCTCCTGTGTGTTTGTCTAGTAGCAGCAGAGCAATGCAGCATGATTCAGTGCAGCCAACCTGCTGCTCTGCAGGGTGAGGAAGTTCAGCCCATTGGCCTCTCACATTAGACAAGCCTCAACTTGTCATCTGGTCTGGTTGCTAAGATAAGTGCCAAACAGCAGTAGAAGCAGTTAAACAGGTCATTGAGCACCACCCTGAGGAGAAAAGAAGGACTTGCAGTGAAGAAAGGCCCTCTGCTGCAAGAGTTTGGTATGTAGCCTTGTTCATTTCCAACATTGCTGGAACAATATGGACACTAGAGTTCTGTATCTACTAACGTTTATGCAGTGTTTATGTGCAAATGGATCCATTAAATTAGCAGTAAATTGAATATTTAAAAAAAAAAAAAAAAATCACAAATATGTAATTGTTTTTTTAAGAAAATACTTAGAGTGAAATAAATTATCAAGCCTCATCTAGAATATTAACAACAAAACTATGTTTTTCCTACTGCGTTATTTCAGTCACACATACTTACCTGTTGTGTCTTTGCTCTACGGCCTAACAGTTTGGGTGCTCACTGCTTCATCATTGTGTGTTACTGTGAGCTAGTGCCCTGCTGCAGTATGTGTGTAACTAAACTAATGTTGAGGCTACACAAATATATACACACACATACACACACACACACACACGTATTTTTGCATGTGTTGTGATGCTGAACAAAAATTTGATATATACCTGTACAATTTTTTTAAAGGATTCAAGACAAAGCGGTCAACTCCTTGATATAACTGAATTCTTCAAAAAGTCCCTGGGACAAAGTAAAAGGCACACTTAATTGATAGTCAGAAGAATATGTTTAATAAAAATAATTAAACCTCAATTTCCTCTATAGAACTTCATAGAAAGTAATCCAATAAATTACAAATGACTTTTAAGACGTGTTTTCCTGCACTACATTAAGAATTATTTTGACTACACAGACCACAACTTGCAAATATATCAACTGTCCAATGAGAAAGAAAGAAAAAAAAAAGAAAAGAAAGAAAAAGACACAAACTGACCAGGGTGACATTTAGGATACTATCAAGCTTGAAATAAAAATACAAACCCCATGATGGTAGTTTTGTCATCTCAGTGATTACATGTATGAAAACCTCCCTGTACAGCAGTAGTGTGTTTTGTCGTTCCTCTTGCATATTGGTCATTGTTTTCTTGTGTCTCTGTGTTTAATGCAGATTCAGCACAGCCTCTTTAGCAGCAAGCAGTGCTTTCAAGGTCTGTATACAATATAACCTTTACAAAAAGAAGGAAAAAAAGGAAGGAAAGCAATGAAAGCGAGAAGTCCCATCTTGTGTCTACATTTATCTCTTAACGAGGATTAACACAGTCATCAATCCGTCGCTGCGGGGCAACAAAAAGTAGCAAAAGTCATCAGTCAGTCACCTACAGCAGATGTAGCAGTGGCTGGGTGTTTGCATAAGGGCACTACAAGTTTAAAGAGCGTAGAGGTGCAGATATACAAAATGACAGTGGCATGTTTAAGTTCATTGCTCAGACATAGAAAAATACCGTACTGTTAGTAATAATAATTAAAAAAGAAAAAATGCAATTGCATTGCAAGCAAACCCATGACGAGGTCTATATATAACAGGCATACAAGAAAACCACATTAAAGCAACATTAGAAATCAGGCATGTCTTCAGTCTTTGTTCATGTCTGAACCCACGGAGAAAAATGCTACAGCTACACTTAAGAACTAAACAGGTTTTTCAGCGGGCTGTCACCCTCAGCCCAAACAGAAACCTCACTTCGGAAATAATTTGTGTATCTAACAGTCCACTGTGTAACAGCAGTCCTAGAGCAAGCACTGTTGTGCTGAGAGAGACTTACAAAAAGGTACTTCGGTTCGAGTGAACTCCAGTGTTTGTGTGTATATCCTGGTTACAGGTTTAAAATGGACGTGTGCACGGATGCTGAGCAAAACACACAAGCATGGATAGTGAGCGTAGATGTGAGCGGTGAATGAAAGAGAGTGAGGTACAGGATAAGGGCACTTCTACATCTATCTGAAGCTCTGTTCATCAGAAAACAGAGTTGAGGGTGAAGTGAAATAAATCAAGACAGCGCTGAAAACTCCCAGCAACAAAAGCTATTATTGAGCCCTTCCTGAAGCTAACCCGTGTGGCACTGCGTAAAATTTAATACTTAGACAATGACAGTGATACTACAATCTTAGCCAGGAACTGAACTAACTTGTGCTTGTGCCCCATGGGCTTTGTAGGAACACAGGTTGCCATGCAATGCGTATCATCAAGCACTTGAATCCTCCAAATTTCCAAAGAGAAATTTTTGACGGTATTAAAAAAACAAAACGACAAAAAAAACAAAAAAACAACAGCAATGTGGTGTTTACGTCTCATAGCCTGTCAGCCCCCACACCACCACCTAACATACAGCCTGGTGAGTTATGGATGCGGCGAGAGGAGCAGCTCAGGAAGCAAAACACAGAGGAAGGTTTCATTTAAAATAAAATCAAAAAAGGCCTCTGACACACATTCCAGCAGAGATGAGAACATTGTGTACATTGACAGATCACACACACACCCATGCACATGTACATTTGCACAGTGAAGCCAATCCATTTAGCAAAGTTGAGGTAAGATTCAGTCAAATACATCGGGGTTGTAGAAATAATATCCATCAACACTACAAAGACCAAACAACTCCGTCAAGACCGCCAAGGGTCAAAGGGCAGTTTTTTGGCACACAGTAGAAGGTTTTTCTCTGTTACCGCAGCTCAAGGAGCTTTTAGTTATAATTAAGAGATGTGCAGGTGAATGTGAATGCCTACTGTTGGTGGCTAAAGTGCGCCTTGAACATGCTGTGGCATGTTTGTAAGGTGATGGTGAATATTAAAATGTAAAGTCAGACAGTAGAGAAATGAATTATGTTTAACTTCTTCTTTTTCTTTGAAAGACAGATTTAAGATTGTGTACGTCTGGAAAAATAATAATTTTACCATTTTTCCAAGTCCTTACTAAGGAAGGAATCATTTCCTACCTGGACAAGGAGAAGTGATAAATAACCTCTTCAAGATGATATGAAGGTATTTGACAGGTTTGTGAGAGTTGTGCACTCGGGTGGAACATGGCAGACAGAGAATCTACAGCTTCAGTGACATTCATTAGCTGCCCAAGTTATTGCTGACATATCCAACGTATGATCTGCAAAGCATAAGTGTCAACGAACCTGTAAAAGTACTATTTACAAGAGAACCCAAAGTGTTTGTCAAGTGCCATTCCCCACACCCCTGACAATCAAAATATATTAATAGTACAGCTCAAAGAGCGTGTTGATGTAGTTTTACTTCTTTTAATAAAATTAATCCTGACATAATTACAATAATGCCTTTTTTGTTGCAATAATTGCATGGTACAAGTTCAGAGTTCAGAAATCTACTAAAGTCTGACATGCAAAATGTCTCAAAACAAGACTGTACCTTGTGAACAAACATTGACATTTTATTTCAGTTTCTTTAGGTCAGTTTTTCCTATTTTTTTATTTCTTTTTTAAAGGTTTTTGTAGTCTTTATTACAGAACATTGTAGTTAGTTCTTGTATTTACATGTAAAGAAATCACAACAGAAGTGCTGGAAAATCCATATATATATGTGAATATATGTATACATTTCTAGGCAATACATAAATAAATTTATATTTATATATTTGTAGGATCAGTCCTCATCACTTGAGTCTGAATCGTCTGAGGATGAGGAAGAGCTCCCAGACTCTGATGAAGAAGACTCTGCTTTCCCTGAACCTTCAGGACCACTGTTATCCTTTTGTTCTATGGATTCATCCTCTTCCTCCTCCTCCCCCTCATCCAAAGCGTCTTCCAAAAGCTCGTCTTCCTCCTCTCCATCCTTGTCTCCCTCTGGCTGCTCTGTCTCCTGATGTGATGACTGGGAAACTGAAGGTAGAGGAGGAGCAGTTGGAAGGGTGGGGTCACTGTTTGAGCTCTGTGGCTGTGTGGTGGACACAGGAAGGTTAAGGCCTGGAGTGAGAAGCGTCCCTGGGTAAAGCATACTGGAGAGTAACAAGGGGTTAAGAGACAGTGGCTGACTGGAGGCTGCAGAGGCAGCTGAAGCACTTTGTGTGGCGGAGGAAGAGGAAGCAGAGCTGGAAGTGGAGGAAGGAGTCGTGTTTGAGCCCTCTGTCCTTTCTCCTTTGGTGTCTGAGGTGTGAGAGGGGGCTTTAGAGGCAGTTGGCTCTCCTGTTCCACCGCTGGTTATTCCCTTTGTTTTCTCTTCAGAGCCTCCTGCAGCTTCCTGAGCAGGCTTCCCAAGCAAGCTGCCCATACTAAGGAGGTTTGGCAGTCCAGCCATACCAGACAGCATCATGGGAAACATGGCAGCCAAGTTACTTGCAGCCAGGTTACTAGCATCAGACGGCAGCCCCATCAGGCCTGCAGTGAGCTGCAGGGACTGTAAATTCTGGAGGTTTTGCTGGAAGGCCTGCAGACTCGTGAGGTCCATTCCAGAGAGGAGGCCGTTTGCCAGCAGCGGGTTCAAACCTAGTGCCGAGGCTGCCGGGTTAGGTGGTGCTCCTGCCGCTGCAGCTGCAGCTGCCGCTGCCTTGGCCAAAGGATTCTTAGGTCGCCGTCCACGCCGACTTACCTCCTCTGGAACAATGGGTCCAGTCAGGATCCTGTCAAACATGCTCTCTGGGAGGTAACCCTGGAAAAGATGGAACGATGTTGGTAGGGTTCCCCAATACAAGCAAATAGTCAGGTAGTGACAGTGACAACAGTTCACTGTTACTTAATTAGGCTCATTGAGATAAAACTAGTGTTGTCCTAAGAGAAGAAGAACAGCACATATTTGAACATATGCATTAAGGTTAGTCAGGCCAGTTTTACTACTATCTGCACTCAATAACATGAATGGGGTGAATTTAAAAACCATTTCGATGGCACCAAACTGCCGTCTCTAAAATGATCAGAAACAGGTTAAAACCTTCATGACAGTAGAACTTACGCCTGTTTAAATTTTATAAGGTATAAATTTTATAATATGTGAGGGAAGTGTTACTCTGTAACTTACCGACTGTTTAACAACATCGGCCCATTCAGGCGGGACTCCATACTCTGGGTTTTCCTGAAGGAATCGGCATAGGTCCTTCAGCGGAGGAGCAAAGGCTCCACCAATCTTCAAGAAAGAATACAGACAACATAAACCCAAGTGCACATCACTGTTATAATGTACACACTGTCAAAATGATTATGAACAAATTAAAAGCCATCTTTGTATTTGTATGGCTGGTTATGACTTAAACACCACCAACACACCTTGCGTGCGTTTCTCCTGTTGATGATCTGGACCCTTTCTTCTCCCGTCAAGCTGTTCACATCAATCTTGTTGGGGTTTCTACAGCGGTGCCTTTTCTGCTTTGGCCGACCATCCTGGAAGTGGAACTGCATTTGCATCTTATTTACCCCCTAAACATGAAATGTAACGACAGTTAGTTACATAGAATGTCTAACTACAAGAAGTTTTCTGCTCATACTGGTTCCTCTGTTTTTTTAATTAAATATGTACTAAATAAAATAATGTTTCTAAATATCTATTATTTTAGTTAATCAGGAATTGTCTCTTTTCAACAGACAAGAAGAATTTGAAGCCCTTTGAACAAAAAAGTAAAGACTTACACAGATAAAAGC